AAGGTATTAATTTTCCTTGAGTTTCCAATGAAATCCCACTTTTCATACTCCTTGTTCATTACCTGGGCCACTGGGAGATGCTGTACCCAACATCTGGTGCCTATCAGACAAGAAAAAGGGTTATTAAAAGTAAGGAAAATTGATGTGAAAGCATTATACAGACAAATGTAGATGAATGTGTAAGTGGATCATTCTTCTGGATCCAATTTAATTATATCATAAGATCTGAGAGATAAATGAGATCTCTTACCCAGTGCGAAGTAAGTGTTCTGCAACCACTGATCTTTGAGGAACCATCATCCCCTGGAAGTGACCTGCAACATTTGGATGCCTGTACATAGCCATGCGAGTTTGGCCTGGAGAGAAAGGCAGGTGCTGGGGCCTCTGTAAAGCTTCCATCAAATGTGGATGAGGATGCTGTGGTGCAAAATGTCCACTGGGAAACTGCTGACCAGAATACGGCCCACTTGCCACCATATGGGGTGGAGGAGCACCACTCTGCTGCATGCTGGGATGCATGCCTCGAGGCCCATATGGGAAACTGGGGTGTGGCTGAACTGAAGTACGATGTCGGGCTGTAGCATTGTGGCTGTCCAGGTCCAAGATCTCCTTTGGGCTCTCAGACCGTTCAGAAGGCTCTTCAGTCCTTGCCTGCTTGGCAGGGCTGCCATCCTCTCTGTTTTTCAATGCACTGCTATGGGACCCATCAGGTAAAGGACTAGGTGACATTAAACTCCCAACAGATCCATCCGAGCCATGTGGAGACACGCTATTGTCATTGTGTCGGCCATTAAAACTTCCAACGGATGGTGATGGGTAAGAATTGGGCATCATTGGGTGCTGAGGGTGGTATGGAGGTCTAGGCCACTCCTCAGATGGAAATCCAGGTCTGCCATGTCGGGAGTGCTGATAGAACTGCTGCTGATGGAACTGAGGATACATGCTGGATTGGCCTTGAGGATGCTGCATGGCCATGCGATACTGGTATGGAACACCTTGCTGGTGATAAGCAGGATAGTGTGCAGGATTTTGATGAGGGTTATTTCCCTGTGATGGTGGTCCCTGGTTTGGGTAAGGCTGGTGATTTGGCTGGTGTAATGCTCTACCCATCTGTGGGCCAAAGTGTTGATGTGCTGGCTCAGTTGCACCGTATTGGGTCACAGTGTTACTCTCTGGACCCTGAGTGTGTATTGGAGGAGCCTGATTGTGAAGGGGTGCTAGCTCCTGCCTTCCTAGTTGGGTTTGTGACTCTGGACTGAAGGGCTGTGGTTTGTAAAGCCCACTGGCACAATAATTCCTCATGTCAGCATTGCTACTATCCTTGGAGGCTGTACTCCCACTTGACACTTTCCTGCTGGTAGGCTCACAAGGCCTTTGGTCTCCCTGATCAGCTGGAGAGGGTTGAGCAAGTGGATGCGATACAGGGTGGCTAGGAGGTAAAGAGCTGAGGGTAGCAGGCTGATGAACACCGGGCTGACCCCCCTGAGGTGGAATCTGTGGCATTCCATGAAGAGGTCCTGCCTGTGGCCCTCTGACTGGTCCATTGTGTGGTATTTGCTGTGAGCTGTTCTGTGGATACTGATGAGATGCATTTTGTGGCATCTGTTGAGAAAGATTCTGCAGAATATGTGAAGGAACATTCTGAGACTGTCGTTGAGAATCATTCTGAATAAATTGTGGTGGAACATGTTTATGGATTTGTTGAGAGGGATACTGGGGAATTTCATCTGGGGTTTTATGAGGCACTAGCTGAGGACCATTTAGGGGTAATGAAGAGTCATTCACAGATTTTTGCTGTGGGCGACCTGGCTGGGTTTGAGAATTTGGGTGGTCACTGTTGTGGATTTTCTCTAGATTTGACGGTTTATGTTTCTCTTCATTCTGACTGGGACCTTCTGTGCTTGGATTGGACACTGATGCCGGAGCTGTTCCTAGAGGTGGTTGCTCAGATTTTTCTGTTGGATTAGCATGAGAACGCATGTCAGCTCCAGTCAAGGCATTTTCTCCAGTTGACCGTTTATCACCAGATTTTGGACTTGAACCTGTCGGGATATACAATGGTGGTAAAATGTGCTTAAATCATGCAAGTGCAAACTCCCAATCTCATTTTCATGAGAAAACAAACATGGCAAAAAATACCACTCTTACCTTTGGGGGATATGTGAGTGTGTTGGATGTCTGTAGCACCATCTCTAGAAGGCCTGATGAGCTGGTTTTCAGGAGAAGACAAAGCAGCAGAAGCTAAAGCATTACCACCACATTGTGGAGTGGGCTGAAAGTTCTCAACAGGATGAGACGATGAGGCCGAGAGCTGCTGGAGGGCAATCATCTCTGGACTATCAAGCATGGAAGCCAAATGTGGCCTTAATACCTGAGGAGCCCCTGGTTGTCTTTGGCCAGTGGGACTTTGGGAGCTGACAGAGGGCATTCTATATTGACCATTTGTCACTGCATAACCAGTACTGTGTGGAGGACGGATCATGTTGTTATTGTATGGATGCTGGCTAATTGCACTCTGTTCTTGCATCATAGGTCCACCAGGTGTCTGCTGCCCCTGATTGTTCATGGGTGGCCACATCCTGGGCACATTCATGCTATGGTGGCCATAAAGAGGGTAGGAACTATGCATTGGGACACCTGGCCTGGGATACCGGTTCCCCACAGGCTGCATGGACTGCCCTTCTGGATGTTGCCGTGAAGGGTACATGTTACCTTCAGGTGGAGGGGCACAGAGGCCTCCAGGCTGAAGGGCCATTGGTCTTGGGCCAAGAGAAGGACCATGAGTAGGACCAGGATAAGAATGTTGCTGATGTGGACGTTGTAGTGGTTGACCATCAAGTCCAATTGGGTATCTAGGACCAAGATGTGGACCATTTATGTGGGAACCCTGATTAAAAAAAAAAAAAAGAAAGAAAGAAAACCATTATAAACAACCTTCAAGAGGTGAGGAAACATTTTCCTCACAAAGTGATCAAAACTAATGCTGCTGGTGAAGATCACTACATACCTGCATGTTGTAGTGATGTATATGCCGAGTTCCATGATCCACCTGTGGCCTGGACATGAGGGGTCTCTGTCCAGGATATGGATACTGGGGGTCAATCATCATTCGTTGAGCATACATTCCTGGTCCCAAAGGACCTGCAGGTTGTTGAAACTATAGGCAAAAAAGAGCACATCTCTTATGTAGTACTGGCAATAATAAGTGCTCCAGAAGCACTTTTATGATAAGTCAAAACTGTTGTTTCAGCTGTCAACAATAAACAAATTTTATTGTGTAGAGAGTGTAGTCTAACCTGTTGAACAGGATGTAACATGCCAGACTGTTGCTGTCCTAGGTAGATGTTATGAGGATGTGGGGGACCATTGATGTAGTGTGGGGGAGGGTGTTGTAAAGTAGATTTTGGTTTGTCTTCTTGCTGATTATTTCCCTTTCCACTATTGCACGTTTTGCGTTTTTGAACTTGCTCAGTGGCTCTGATCAAGCTCTCAGGACCAGACTGTTTGTGACTTTTGCTCTTTTTCTTATCCTTGCGGTCCCGGTCCTCACTGCTCACGTGAAACTCCTCATCCGTGTTGCCATCCTCAGCAGGGAAGTGCTTCAGTAGGGCCCGGCTAAAGCAGCGTTCCAAGGACTCAGCCATTATTGTGTATTCTGAGGAGATACAGACAGGTAAACACAAGCGCACACACACACATACAATCTCATCTCCCATTGCACAGCAAGCACACCAACCAGGTCACAGAACCACAGTTGACCTCTGACCCCGCCACCCCCAGAGGAGTGCATTCTGATGGATGGATGACTCCAGGGAGGGGAGCTGCGGGGCTGGAATGTCTCTGTGGCACTGCAGGACCTGGTGCACTGGAGGACAGCTCAATCACTCTCTATTAATCAATGTCAGAGCCTTTCCACATACTTCCACTACTTGTATGAAATGCTTTGCTCATCAATTTTTAAACACTGCTACACATTCATACATTTTGTTGAGTAGATTATTTTTAAACAGTTTCACTTCTGCTTAACTTTGCAACAAGTTTAATCATATTTACCACTCTCTTCTCCATTGTATTCCAGGCAGTTCTCAAACATAAGCTTTACATCAGCCACAAACTCATCCTTAGCAATGTACTCCCCATCATTCAGCTTTTTCTCAATGGTGGACAGGTCCATTGGAGTCTGATGAAACATTTTAAATATCTTATTGAATTATTCTTAACAAGGTCAAACAAATGTCTTTATAACAGCTTGTATGCCCACCTGTATGATTTCATGATAGTTGGGGGCATAAGACTCATCAACAGGCTCCATGAAAGGCCAGGCATCTTTGTGAACTTTGAGGGCCTCCAACACTGAAGAGAAAATAATGTTACATTATTTCAGTGGAACTTCTATATTTACTGTAGGTATTGAATGAGGAAACAAACACTGTGGTTTGATCACAACACAAAAACTGTTGTCCAAACGTACCTTTGTAGAGAGCAGTGTAATCATCATCTATATCATAACTACAATACAAAAAGAGAAGTGAGTAATGAATAGCAACCAACCACACCAAACTACACATAAAAACGTACACATTAATTAACAAGCAAAATTAACATCCAATGTGTGTTAGGAGACTATTAGCAAAATGTAAAGCTAATACGGAGTTTGAGAGTTAAAACAAAGTCCTTACAGCTCTTTGGTGCGACGTGCTCGGCGACTAGGTGAGTAAGTCTCCAGATTCAGCAGTTCAGGGGGAAGTTCTTTTCCTTGAGAGAGCAACCAGGCCTTCTCCTCTCGCTGCTTCCTTCTACGTGCACGCTCTGAACAACATACAAAAACATCAGTGAATGACAGAATAATAAAGCACTTTACACTTTTTATTACCATTAATAGTGCATTTGTTACCTGCCCACTTCTGCCTAGGCCAAGGTGATGAAAAGTTTGCAAACGAAATCAAGTAGTAACAAGAGCAATTCATCAGGCAGCTTTAGAAGGCACATTTGATCAAAGGGCACAGGCAAGATAAAGGAGAGATATGCTTTATGTGCTGACATTAAAAGCCCTGACTGATACACCCTGCTGGGAGGATTAAAAGAGCTCGAGGAAGAAACCACTGGAGAGAACCGCAGGCTCGATCTTCATCCATAATACATTAATGTGGATAGGCCCATCAGCAGCAGCACAATCAAGAGTTAATTAACCCACTGACAGGGGATATCAGAGCTGTATGATTCTCACGAGGAGTGAGGCTGGTCATTTCCCCTAGCTCAGCTCTTTATATGGTTAAAGCAGCCTTGGGTTAAAAACATGCTGACTTCAAAACCGCCATGTTGAGACAAGACCACAGAATGTGCTCTAGGATCAGTGTGTCTTTGATCATGCTTCTGGGGAAACTTTGGTCGCTGGTTACCTGAACTGTGACTCACCCTCAACAGCTTTGACTCGCTCCTGTTCCTCTCTCTCCCGTTCTTCCTGAAGCAGTCTTTCTTCTTCTTTCCGTTGTTCAGCGAGCAGGATTTGCCTTTCCAGGTCCTCCTCCCTCTGCTTGTCCACCTCAGTTGTGGCTCGTGTCTGCTTCACATAAATTCATCAATTAAACCATAGCTTACATCACATACATAAACAAGAAAGTGCTGACATGTTTAAAAAAAGCCCACCCCATTCTCTTTACTGCCATTTTGTTCAGTGTGGTGATGACTGTTGTGTTCCTTGAGCGGATTCAGTACCTTCTGCTTGATCTCTTTCTCCTGGGGAAGAATAATCTTGTCAGTTACACACATATGTGGGTGACAGGTAGGTCACTTGGGGGGATATCAACCCCTCCTGAATATGCCCTTTGTTTTAACCAAGAGGCTAAAGGAAGGGTAAAGAGTGTCATCACAGAACCAAACAGCCCACGGCGACAAAGGCCCATCTTCCCCCATCTCAGTATATTCAGGATCTTCAGCTTTGTGCATTACCCTACAACACTTAATCCCATGCTAGAAGATGGAGTGTCTGTGGTATCACCACTTAAGAGGTCAAAAAACCTGCAGCACTGCAGGCCGTCAATCACCATGTTCCAGCTCGCTTCAAGGTGAGAGCTTGCCACATGACGACGGCTAGATGGATTGGCTCTGACAGGGTTGTGAGACTGTGCTTGTGTGCATGTGTGAGAGAGAGTGGGTGGATGGGTTTGATTTGAAGAGGCAGTTGTCCATGTTAAAACCCATTGCATCAAGGTTGCGAAAGAAAATATCTGGTCCTTAATATGTACATGTGTGGAAAATGTGAAGTTGCATAATGCTGGAAGCACTGAAGCAAGATGTACATTTTACAGTGAGGGTATGTAATGGTAATTGCTGGAAGCATGGTAGCTATGGCAACCAGACACTCTAATAGGTCTTGATTAGCCACGGAAATGACATGTCAACACCACTGCAAAATGTGCATACCAACATGTATCCGATGTAGACAGTTTCTTACTGGTAAGATAAGAGAAAGTTCAGGTAATCTAGTTAATCTATTATCTATGTGCATATGAAAATTGAAATAGCTTGAAATAAACTTGAGTATCATATTGCTCTAAACTTGAGTATTATTAATCTGCTGCACTATGTAGATACTCGATGCCTCTGAAATATTCTGGAGCAGTTGCAATTGTCCATAAAGACAATGGACCCTGCATGGCAACTTAATCTCGAGCCAGTGTACACTATAGTGGTTAATTACTATGATTTTAAAAACATTTCATTTTGAATTGAAATAATCATTTAAAAAAAATTGTAGGGTTGAAAATGATAAAAGACTTCTGTTTTCCTGTCCCAAACCTATCTTCGGTAGCAAAAGGGCCATTTGGAATTCCTGAAGTCACAAAAGTGCTGATTGTGATCATTGTGTATACATCGGGGGTCTGCTAATTGTCACACCTTTTGCATGGTGGGGAAATCTGTAATTTGCTGATTGGTCAGGTTGAATGTCTCATATTTGGTTTTTAGTCACATGGTCAAGATTGTAACTGTTGCTCTGTCTCTTTTCTTTGTTGTCTCTTTTCTTGGCTGGCGATCTCTCTTTCTTTACTGGGGCCCTTTTCTTGGGGCTCTGCTCTCTCTCCCTCCATCTTTATCTCTCTCTCTCTCTCTCTCTCAGGTAACATTTTACATACATGCTGGGTACAATTAACGGTTTATGTTTTACCATCCTTCATCTATTTTGTAGCTAATTCAAGTGTAACCATAATAAAATACTGTCATTAAACCATTTTAATTATAAATGATGTGCTAACTAGTCTCAATTCAACATTAACATTAAAGTGCTACCTATTGCAATACAATATAGTCACAAAATAGCAACACTCTACCACATAATTGGCTATTCTAACTGCACTTATTTCCGTCGTTGGTATAAGTAGCAGTGGGTGGTAATAGACAAGAAATGTACAGTTTTATACCATTGTACTGTTATCTTTTCTTTAGTCCTTCGGCAATCCTACAGCCTGAACCACTGTAGGGAAACCACCCTTACAAAATATTAATAAAAAAAGTAGTTAAAAATAATTATTCATACAAATATTTTTTTAAATTACATGAGTTTAATCAAATTCTTCTCAAGGGACTTCTCAAAGAAACATTTAAACATCCTACTGACATAGCTTAACAGCATATGCCACCATAGAGATGGCAATCTCTATTAAGGATATTAAGGAACCTATATCCCCGTTTGACTCATAACGTGACTCATGATTACAATGCATGAGGTTCAATCAGACAGAGTGAAAAGTCTCACCTTGTGTTCAATCATGTTACTGATCTCAGGCAGGAAGTTTTGAGTGATAATACGGTACAGGTGCCGGTCCTGAGGAGAGATTTTGTCCTTAATACTTTCGGCCAGATTGACCCACTGCTCCTCTGTGTCACACACCAGAGACCAGGCCCCACGCTCACGCTCTGACAACACATTACACAAATATCACCTCATTAACATCCATAATAAAAAAGTGTCCCACATGGCTCCGGGGGGTGAATAAAGGCCTCCTGTAGCGAATCAATGCGTTTTTGTAAGAAAAATATCTATATTTAAAACTTTATAAACCGTAATCTCTAGCTTCCGCTAATTGTTGTATGTGCGTTCATTCCGGGCGGATGACGTAGGACGTATGCGTAGAGCATGCGCCGGTGAGAAGTGACGAACGCGGAAGCAGAGAGGAGAGAACAAAACAAAACACCGGTCACGAATTAGAAGTACAAAACGAGGATTTGTAAAGAAAAATGCCGGAGGATTTCGATATAAGCCAAGAGGAGACTGGTTTTCCTTTGCTAAAGTAAGGAAACTTTGCTTCTTTTGCTCCTGTAAACAAACCGGCGCATGCGCTATGCATACGTCCTACGTCATCCGCCCGGAATGGCTTCCGCGTACAACAGTTAGCACAAACTACAGAAAAGTGGGTAAAACGTTTTAAATATGTATATGTTTCTTACAAGAACGCGTCGATTCGCTACAGGAGGTCTTTATTCACCCCCCCCCCGGAGCCGTGTGAAGCACTTTTTTTATTATAGATGGATGCACTTTATTGGACTTCTTTTGAACTGTTGAATAGAAACACCCAACCACTGCCATTATTAAAGCTTGGAAGAGCCAGGACAATTTTTAATTGTATTTACAAAAGGCAATCAGTTATGTCTTAAGTGAAAGGTGACCTATTATGCCCCTTTTTACAAGATGTAAAATAAGTCTCTGATGTCCCCAGAGTGTGTATGTGAAGTCTTAGCTCAAAATACCCTACAAATAATTTTTTATAGCTTGTTGAAATTGCCATTTTTAGGGTATGAGCCAAAACGCACAGTTTTTTGTGTTTGTCCCTTTAAATGAAAACGAGCTGGTGCTCCCGCCTCCCCTTTCAGAAGAGGGTGGAGTTTCTAGAGCTCGCGCACCGGCATCATGCCAGCAATAAAAAAAAACACTCTCTCACGCACTGAAAATGTCAGAAACTGCTAGTAGCAGTGTTCAGCCATATATGTTCGAACCGGTGTCGTGCCGAATTCTGCACCCTGCCAGATTATTTATGAATTACACAGACGGGGAGCACGGCGCTATAAAAATAACAACATAGCTGGTCTCATGGTGCCATCGGAAATCGGATGCATGTCAGTATATTAGACCCGTGCATTCGGTCTTAAAGAGACAGCAGCCTAATAAACCTACTGCTGTCTGTATCATTAATGTTAATCAAACAACAAAAGACAGAGAAAATCACTCACTGCTCTTGAATGAATCACTTTATAACTTTAATAAGAAGCAATGTATATTTGATTCATACAGTGATGCAGAGTTTTAAAGTTTAACTCAGGCTTTAATGTCCATTTTGGTTGTTTAATGCAATACTGTGTTTTAAATTGTTCAAACAGGTAAGTCATAGGCTTGTTCCACTCTTGATATTCTCAATAGTACATCTCAAAATTGGGAAGATCGCGATTCAGATCGTGGATTGTGATTTTGTGTGACAAGATCGTGATATGACATTTTGGGAAGGTCGCCCACCCCTACTCCAAATTAAATAAGAATTTTATAATGAAACCAAAACATCCTGATAATAATTTGTCAAATGTTACTAAATCTGTTTAGCTTCCAACCAGTAGCTTGAGCTTTCATCTCTTAGAAATCTCTGTGTAGGCAAGCTACAACTTCTGGCATGATTACTAGCATTTAATTTCAATTTGTGTCATGAACATTCCACATTTCATGCTTTTGCTGAAAGAGCATTTCATGCACATTGCAGCAGACATGCATTACAGCTGCCCTGGGTGCTTTAAGCCACTTGCGATGCAGAATAATAACGAAGAAAAAATTGTTAACTCTACATCTTTAGGCCTACAACAAACAGCAGCAATACTAATAAAATACTAACGATAATAAAAGCAGCAATACTTGTTTACAGTGACTCACCTATTGCAGGCTTGGGCTCCTCAATACTTTCATCCTCTTCCTTCACAGAGTCTTCCCCCTCCTCCTCCCTAAAACAAACAAGAATAGACGCTTATCTTTCTAAATAATTAAACTTCAAAGCCTAGTAAGTAGTAAATCTTTGTACTAAAGCATTTTATACAATGCATTTAAAGGATGTTTAGGTCTTACATGGCCAGTCTATCTTCAGACTTCTTTGGTGGCCTCCCTCTTCTTTTCTTTTCAGTCACTTTGTCATAACTCTCACTGTGAAAATGGTTTCTCGGTGAAGGTTTCTTTTACAACTTTAAACATACATATACTAACAAATATAAATGCCATTGTTTCTTGTAGGCTCTTGTGAAAGCACCTCTCCATACCTGTATTGGGGAGACATTGCTTCAACTGGCTCCTCTTTGAATAGCCGCGTACCATAAAAGTACCAATAGAGGGCCCCGTTCCCATCCTGGCCCAGAGGCTCAACACGTAAACTGTCTGCATCCAGGCCCTGTAAAACCCAGGATTTCTTTTAGACAAAATGCATTTTGATCACTTCTGTTATGGTGAGTATTAAACAAACAAATGCAAAACCTGTATCTGTTTTTGTGCTATGACAAGGTTGCTACCTTGAGCCGGTCAAAGACATCAGCAGCATCAAGACGATAGTCACAGAGTCTGTGCAAGAGTTCCACCTGTGTGCGGGGTGGCAGCTCTTCAAACTGGTGCTCCTTCAGTGGATTGGCCTTCCCTTCTTCCAGTTCCCAGCGGTAATTGATAATGTCTTCCAGGTAACTGCTAAAGGACTGAATCCTAAAAATGAAAAAAAAAAAGAATAATAATACATAAAAAGGATTACAATACATCTTTATATATAGAATTGACTAGTCATGTCATAAACTAAACATTAATTTACAAAGTTTCCATCTAAATTGTGAATTTCATTTATGCAAAAAAAAAATCTAAACATCACAACAAATCTGCAAAAAGAAATGTCAAAAAGAAAAAAAATCATCATTTCTGGGGGAAAAGAGATGGAAGTAGAGGTCACTGTGGCTCTTCTAGTCATTTCTAAGAGTTTACAGTGTGCAGACAAAATGCCCTGACAAAGTTTAAGTTTGCTAATAGGCAACAAGACATTTGCTGGCCTGATGTCTGGGAGCGACAGCATGTCAACATACACTGAAAATTATAAACGCAACACTTTTGTTTTTGCCCCCATTTTTCATGAGCTGAACTCAAAGATCTAAGACTTTTTCTATGTACACAAAAGGCCTATTTCTCTCAAATATTGTTCACAAATCTGTCTAAATTTGTGTTAGTGAGCACTTCTCCTTTGCCAAGATAATCCATCCACCTCACAGGTGTGGCATATCAAGATGCTGATTAGACAGCATGATTATTGCACAGGTGACAAAAGTGTTGCGTTTATAATTTTGTTCAGTGTATTTCTGGAAAGCAATCATAGACAGTCATCTCAGTGAATTATTCTGTGAAATGACTTGGGGCAGTCACATGACTTTTTGGATGCCCATCTAGGAATTTCCATTGCAATTTATGTACGTCTTCTACACGAATCAAGTTTTTGGACAATTTTATTCACATCTTTGTTGTTTCCATGCAGCATTTTATATTTGATATTCCAAAATTTGCCCAATATGTATGAAAGGCCAACTTATAATCAACTAACATTTAAAAAAATGTTTTGAAAGCAACACAAGCTATCTACTTAGCATCGGCCTTCCACCTTGATTTTAAAGGGTTAGTTCACCCAAAAATGAAAATTATGTCATTAATTACTCACCCTCATGTAATTTCAAACCCATAAGACCTTCGTTCATCTTCGGAATATAATATCTTAATCACAAATTAAGATATTTTTGATGGAACCCTGCATAGACAGCAACGCAACTGAAATTATCCCAAGTCCAGAAACGTAGCAAGGAGATCTGTAAAATAATCCATGTGACATCAGTGGTTCATCCGCAATTATACGAAGCTACGAGAATACTTTTTGTGCGCAAAAGAAAAAAAATAACGACTTTATTCAACAATTCGTCTCCTCTGCATCACCCTGGTGCCATTTTGGAGAATATCCACTGGACGTAAACAGCGTATACCGTTCTGTGTCAGCTGCGTCACATGGATACGCTGTTTCCATTCAGATCAAATCACAACAACGTAGGAAACAGATCCGGCATGACGCACCTTCCTACGTTTCTGGACTTGGGAACATTTCAGTTGCGATGCTGTCTATGGAGTGTCAGACAGCTCTCAGATTCCATCAAAAATATCTTAATTTGTGTTCCGAAGATGAACGAATGTCTTACGGGTTTGAAACAACATGAGGGTGAATAATTAATGACAGAATTTTCATTTTAAGTTATGATAATTCACTAATAAATGATTCTTATGATTTAAGTTATATTACTATGTGTTTTTGTGATGACATGGGCTAAAAAAATTTAATTAATTAAAAAAAGGTTAGTTCCGGGTGGGGTCAAGTCGATCAACCCAAAACCCAGTTCCTGGTACTAATGCGTAGGGCAAGGGTGAGCCTTAGGACAACAAGAGAGAAGGTAGAAAGCAAAAAAGGAGAGAAAGAATAGGCTTATCTTGAGAAAGTAGAATGATCTCGCTCACAGCTGCAGGCCCCCTGCCATTCCATCTTTCTCTGCCTCTCTCTCATCCGTAACACTCCCTCCCCCATTCTGCTGGGGCGTTTAGCACATGTAGAATGAAAAGGGCACTTCTGTGAAAGGCCAGTGCCCCGCGGCCTCCCCCTGGATGCCAGTTGCTGTCGAATCCAATAAAACCCTGCGTCCTGTTAACGGCCTGCCTGAGTATGCGAAAGGGATCATTCTTGCCTACCCAGTCATCGACCGGACTCCTTTTTGCAGCTGATGAGGCACCACTATGGAAGGGAGCTCCCTTTAGGGGCCAGTCATTCATCACAGCACTGACTCTAATAACTCACATTTTTTACTAGGATGGGGCCCATGGCCCCTTGACCTACTACTGCTGCAGGTAACCTAGCTGCATGACTACAGCGCTACTACAGGCAACTGGTCACATGCAGATGGAGATGGATTCTGAGTCAACACACAGGATGTGGGTACACATAACATGCGCAAGATCTTTCAAGAACACAGAGGAGGGTTGCTAAATCACCCAAAACTGTATAGTACTCTCAATAAAGGAGTATTTCAGGTACAGAACAAGTTAAGCTCAATATATGCAATATATCAAGTATTATGCAACAAATAAAAATATTTGTTGCATAATACTAATTACTTACAAAAAAACAAAAAATGTCTAATCCCTTGATTTCTTTAGAGATTAAAGAGCAGGTCATATGGTATTTTAAAGTGTCCTAATATTGTGTTGAGTCCCCTACAACAGGTTTAAATGCATCTAAGGTCAGAAAACATTGTAATTTTCTCAGAATATACATTTAATATTAGAGTCATTTGCCAATGATTTCGAAACGATTCGTTCCAAGCAACGGTGCAGCAAAATAAACAGCAATTTAACAATGACTATAAAGTCTGTGCGCTACACTACATAATTTATTATTACATGAAGTAATTATTAGAACAACATTAGTCTACATTTATCAACACATTCTTAGGAAATAGTGGGTTCAGAGTGAATTATCAGAACTATTTCAGTAAGACTAATATCGTGCTTTACCTGGAAACCTAAAGCTGCACTAGGTATACATCACATATTAGCACAAAAACTTGATATTTTGAGCACTCATTTGAAAATACACACATAACGTATCAATCATTCGGTTGTGGTTCGGAGACGCTTGTTAGTCCAAATATTGAAGATTAGTCCTCAGTAAAATGACGAGCACACAACAAAAGGTTTGAAATTTATTTCTGTGGTATCCTTGAACACAGCGTCTTCTCAACATGATGTAAACACACTAACTAGCAGAAGTGTTTGTGGGCAGGGCAGACTCGCGGGCAGGCGGGGATTATGCAAATTAGGGCTGTGCAATTAATCGAAATTGCGATTTGAGACGTTGCGATTTCCTAATCGCAAAGCCTGCGATGTGGACGCGATATTACTCTGTTCCAGAGCATATGCATGACTACCAGCCTTGAGTTGCAGTCTTACTTGCCCTGGTCAAGAGTAAGCGCACCTTCGTTCTCCCCAATCAGCACTGCTCTAGCCAACTGTGTAAACACCCACCATTAAAAAAAATAAATAAATAAAAACAGTAAGCGGGACGGGAGAGAGACAGAGTGGGATTATGGCGTCTACTGGGTCAGATCGATAGTTAGGCAAAAAAAAAACGTATGCAACTTAAGCTTCGAAATGACAGACAACGAACAAAAAAGGTAATTTGCAAGAGCTGCGTCACAGCGCATATCAAAAGCTCCCTTATCGGTTCTGTTTTCAGTACTGGAGAATAAAAGATACATTCTTAGATGTTTTTGTTAGTACGTGAACGTTATCTTACACATTTGATCTCCCCAACAGATTAATTTGAAATAAGTTTATAATGTTGGCTATTCCCAATTCAGAAGAGCGCACACACAGCCTGTGTCTGTGAATGCTTCTCATACTCGCTCCTCTCTGCCCCATGCGG